TTCCTTCCTTTTTATTTTGATTTTGATTTTTCTTTAAATAATCCGACGACGGAGCCTCTGCAAGTAAAACAGTAGTTTTTCTCGCATACTCTTGAGGTGAGAATATTTTCTCAATTTTTTACTAAAAGTATTAGAGTTAATTGAGAATAATTTTCAATAATTAATTACTTGGTAAGATTTTAAGGCTCATTGGATAACACAAATTTTAGTTGGTACCATTTTTTGATGGGCGTTGTGAGGGTGCTATAATCTTTCTCACACGTAACCGAACTCCCGAACCCTGTTCTGGTTAGTAGACCTGAACCTATTTTTTAGGGACCCTTAAACTTAGGTGTTTCCTGAAAGGACAGATTCTTTTAGGTAGCCAATCGCACCTAAATAAAAAAGATTGGTGGCGACTCTCTTAAAGTCAATGTCTGACGATAAATCTTCGGATCTAAACGTTATGATAGATACTTTAGTATTCTTTTTCCATTTCAAGTCGATCAAACTTATTAACTAATAAGCCACCTTAAATTCTGTTGAACGTGGCGGCTCCAGTGTATTCTACAGTTTTACTACTTGTACTTAAATTAATTACTGCTGCACTACCATCAACTCTTGATTATAAAATATGAAAACGCAGCATAGTAATTGTAAAAGGATATCTTTGCATCGAACTTTTTTTTTATGATTTGAATCTTAATTTTTTTTATAGGGACATTGTTATTTTCTAAAGATTGTGTTGAAAGTTTGTAAAATTCTTATATTTTTGTATTATGAAAACTCTTTTTTGTTATTTTTGTATGTCACATTTTGACATTCATAAAAATAAATAAATAAATTGGCATTAGTTCATTTTAAACTAAAATTTAAATTTTTTATATAATTGATATTCCATGATTTTAATATAAAATTTTTTAAACAAAAATAAATCATATATATATATATATTACAATATATATGATAACCAGATAAAATTTATTAATGTGAACACTTAAATTGATAGTATCTATTTTTTATACGTAAGAAAATTGTTAAAATTTATCTTATATATAAGATATTTTTTAATTTTAGATTTTTTATTAAAAAATATATTTCAAATTTTATTTAATTATCCAAAATTTTTTAAATTTAAATAAAAAATCAATTTGGATTTGAAATAATTAAATAGATAAAATTATTATTGTTTATTTTGTAAGATTTTATTTAAACAGGTAAAATTAATTCTTATTTTTATTTTTAATGAAATAAATATATTTAAAAATTTATTAGTTATCCATATATTTTTTAGATATATTTATTTGGAAATTTTTAATTATCCAAAGTTTTTTTAATGAAAAAATTACCTTTATTTATCAAATACACCTTTAAATATATATATATATTAGATTAATTTCCTAATAATTAGTCATTACTATGGGTTTGGATGCAAGATTAGTCCTAAATGACCGAATAGCTAATGGAAAAGTACAATTATTTTTTATTTGTAATTAGTGTTACCTTTTTGGAATGCTTGTATTTTTGTTGCTTTTGTAATTAAATTTATAGTATTATTAATTGTAAAGTTTGCTGAATATAAAAATATTTTTAAAATTGTAGATTATACTTAATATTTGACTAAAACTACATCTTCAATTATATTCTTGTTAAAATGTTAAAATCTATAATATTAATATATTTTCAATTTGAAATTAAATAAATTTTTAATAAAAAATATTTTAAATTCATACTTAAAAATTATATAAAAAAATAATAATCTGACCCATAATCCAACCAACGAACATATTCAGTTTCTAATAAAGTTAAAGAATTATATTTAATTATGATCTATTTGCTTCTTGATTTCTTTTGCTCGAATTTTGAAAAACATTCATTAATAAATATGAATGTGGTTTTTAAAAATATGTCTTTTCTTAATTTGTTTTAATTAGTCTAATTGAATTAATTTATTAACTAACTTTCTAAGATTTAATGATATAAAATTATTTATTTCCATATGATAAATAATATTATCATACTTAAAAAGTCTATAAATTATTTGGCAAGAAAAAAATTGAAATTTAAAAATAATTTGTTATTTTTTAAATAACATTATATTTTGAATTAACCATTATATATAAGATTTTTCCATTATATTTTAATTATAAATTAATTTCAAGCATAAATAATTAGATATATATAAATATATGATTTTGTCTTTCTTTAGATTTTAAATATTTTGAATAACTAATTATCTTTTTAAATATATTTATTTGATAAATAATATAAAATTGAAAAATATCTTTCATCGAAGATGAATTTTTTACACACAAATTATTTATATTTATCTTATTAAATAGATAATAAATAACTAGATTAAATGATAAATAGTTTTTAACTTGTTAGATTATAAATTAAATCTCCTCTAAAAAAAAAGATATTGTTTCAATTACGATTGAAAAATAATTAATTAAAAAATAATTAAAAGTAAGCTAACAAAGCAAAATAATCTGAGCATCGCACGAATGGTAAATTAATTTTAAAATAAAAAGCAAATAATTTGAGTATTAGAAAAATAAAGACATAGCTTTTGAAATTTTAAAGATAAAAAAATATATAAAAAATTGGAAAGAAGGAATTATTAGTATTACTTTGTTTAATCCCACTGAAAAAACCATGGTTACGCCACTGATCAAACCTATGTGAAAAATAAAAGTAATTTAAACAGAAGCAAACATTATTTGATCACTGATCCCAAATGGTGTCGTTTTATATACCAATACCATTAAGAAATAAAAATTTTAGGTGATTTTTTTTTTCAAATATGTTTCGTATCTCGTTTAGCAGATCACATAATGAAATTTTTTAAAAATATATTAAAAGTGTTATTTAAAACTTTTTAGACGGAAAGTAATTTTATTTGATTACACAAAAAAAAAAAAAAAGGGCTTCGAAGATACACCATAATGTTCAAACAATTGACAGCAAGAAGGCTTAAAAAACACAAGCAATATTGTCTAGTACCTAGAAAATTAAAACCCATAATCATATACTCAAACTGTAATTCCTTTCAAGCACATTGTCTCGTTCATTACGTAGTCAAAATGTTGGCATGGCATGGTAACAATTTACCAATAAAAAAATTCTATGTGTTATATAATTTTTATTTTTTAAAAATAATTTAAATTAAAAAATTCATTTGCAAAAAATATTTTTACAATTAAAAAATAACAAAAATAATAATTTTTTAAGAAAATCTATTTTTTGTTGAAATTAAAAAAAAAAAATGGTCAGAGACAAGTGGAAGGAAGGGACAACGAAAGGGCCTAATGACGGTGAATCTGCTTGATCCAAAATAGATCGACCCTACTTGCATTTGGGTCGACTAAATCCGTCGTCTTCTAACCCTTTTCCTTCCCCCCTTCTCTTTCCTCTCTCTGCCCTTTTCAACCGCTCTCTCTCTCTGTGTTATTTTCCACAAAAATGGTGTCATCATATGCGGGCATCTTGTGTGGGTATTTTTCCACATAAAATTTGTCATCTTCCTGAGATAAACTATATTTTGGAAGATAAAAATTCTGAAAACGTTTCAAAGTTTTATCAACTCATAACCTCTTTTATTCATACCTTTTCCATTTTAAGAAAATCAACCTTAAATAATAAATGTGACAGTATAACTACAAGAAAATTAATGTGATAGCATGTTACATGAAAATATTTTGAAAGTGTATTGATTTGTAAAACCTTTTTAAATATTTTTATTTTCAATATGTTATTTAAAATTTTAGCTAGTGTACGTTTCTCATAATAACATTTTTTTTATATTGTAATTAGCAAATTTGAGTATTATAGTTAAATAATTAAGTATATATATATATATATAAAATAATTTGACTGCCATGAATTGACTCAAACCTATGTATAAAAGATCAAATTTAGAATAACTTGTTAATCAATATTTTTTATAATATAATCATGAATATCTTCAAATTAATTTACATGGACTTAATTTTGTCTTCAGACGATCTTAAAATTATAATCTCCCAAATCAACCTGATGTATTAAAATTTTATTTTTGAAATACTTCAAATATATATTATTTAAATCTTTAAGAATCATAAATAAAAAAAATTAATCCTTATGAAATTTTTATCCTTACATATCTTTAAATTTTATCTTCTAGCCTTGTTTATAATTTTTTAATTTATGAGAAATTATTATTAACTTCGGGTAATGATAATTTCCATTAGTTTTTAAGTACTTTAAGATATTAACTACTTCAATTTTAGATACAAAATATGTATTGAAATTAATCTATAATTAAAATTTAAATATCTTAAACCTGAGTTGGAAGATAAATGAAACATTAATTAGAAAAGAAAATTTGAGTAAGACAAGTATTAATTATAAATTTATTTAAAAATACATGTATCACCTTAAAATTAAGTAGTGAAATAACAAAAAATCAACAAAATGAAAATTATAATATTAAATTTCAATAAATTAAAATATAATGATCAAATTTAATATTGACCTTATAATATGCACATAAATTTGATATTAATTCTTAGACGAAAGTCTAATTTTGAAGTGTTCATCATAAATAAAATTTTTTTCTTTTCCCTTTTTATGATTTGTACACATGAAAAATGGGAATATTTCAATTACATTTTTTGGTCTCAATTCCACGTGGGATAATGAGTGCACCCGTGTCGAGCTGCGAACTCTCTATCTTACCCATCTTGAAACACGAATAGTTTGACATGTGTGCGAATTAATGGGCTTAAAAACTTGTAGGATGCAAGAAAATTTGATTGGTGGAATCTTTTTCCGCGTTGATTGATCTTGTGAGAAAGATTCGAGCGCGAGCATAACTATCCAGACCTTAATGGTGAAGTATGAGATAGTGCAACATCTCACCTACCCGACAGCTCCAAAGGCTGGCCACATTTATATAGGCAATTGGGTCTTGTCACCTTCGCTGCCCGGCAAAACCGTCTATAAAAACCCCTTCTGTTTCACTATCAAATCACACCTCAGTTTTAGCAGCTCCTCTCAACTCACCTTGTCTTTTGCCTAATCTTTTTACCAAATGGTTAGATTTCTGTTCCTATGATTTCAGTTTCGTTATTTGTGTTTATTCATTTATCAACAACGACAATTTTAACTGTTAATGTGGCTGTTAATGGCTTTTTCTGCTTTACTTGAATATCTAACAGGATCTCCAAGAATTTATTGTTGTGCTTCTGGTAATTTTTTTGGAAGGAGAAAGACAGAAGATAAGGTTGATGAATGAATCACTGATGGCTGATCGAGTTGCACTTCAGGAGAAGGAGAGGGAGCGTTCCATGCTTATGAGAAACAATCAGGATATGCTCGCAAAAGAAGCGGCAAAGGAAAAATTGGTTGATGATTTCATGGCTTTCATTGGAGCGAATAAGAACAACGAGAATGCCCACAATTTTGATGAAAAAGCAATGATGAAAGCTATTGAAACTATGATGAACAGTGACGGCGACGACAATGGAGGATTTGCCAATGGTTACGGTAAAAAGAAAAGCTCCCAAAAAATTACTGTTAATGTGGCTGTTAATGGCTTTTTTCTGCTTTACTTGAATATCTAACAGGATCCCCAAGAATTCATTGCTGTGGATGTGGAAATTTTTTTGGCAGGAAAGAGGCTGAAGATAAGGCTGATGAAAGAATCACTGAGGGCTGATGAAGTTGCACTTCAGGAGAAGGAGAGGGAGCGTTCCATGCTTATGAGAAAAAATCAGGATATGCTCGCAAAGGAAGAGACGAAGAAAAAATTGGTTGATGATTTCATGGCTTTCATTGGAGCAAATGAGAACAACGATAATGCCCAGAATTTTGATGAAAAAGCAATGATGAAAGCTATTGAAACTATGATGACCGGTTACGGCGGCGACAATGGAGGATTTGCCAGCGGCTACGGTAAAAAGAAAAGCTATGGAAAAATTACTGTTTTCATAACCTGGCCGGCCTGGCTGGTTTGATTGGAAGCCAGTTACTTGTTCTGTACAGAACGCATTATTAAACTCCTTTTATGGTTGTTGTTTATGCAGGAGACAGTAATGATCTCGGAATCGATCTGGGTCTTGAAGGAAAAACTACGATCGATGGAAGTATTGCTCTGGTGAACAAAGTTGGCAGTTGTGACGGCGATAATGGAGGATTTTCCGGCAACCAAGGTAAAAAGAACTAACTTAAAGAAAAAAAATAAACGCTCTGAAAACTGGACTATGCTGGCAATTGAACCGGTTCAATAAAAACCGATCAAATGTATGTATACATTTGCTGAGGATTTTATGGTTGTTGTGTGCAGGGGAGATTAATAATGCCCTTGAGAACGCTCAGAAGCTTGGTAAGGAAGCTACGAAGACCGCTGCTGATGGAACAAACGGTGACGGCGATGAAGGCAGCAACGCTGGTGGTTATGGTAGCAGTTACAATGGGAAACGCCGCAAGTAGGATGATGGTGGGCCCCATTAATTACATTTATATGGAAAGATTTACGAACTACGGTATATTTTCAAGTTGATGTCCTGTCGTGTTCTGCAATATTTGGATTAAATATTTTGTCGATTAAAGTACTAATAAGTTGCTGCTGAGTGGTATTGGAGTTGATTTTAACGTTGAAAATTTGAAGTTCGAGCTTCGATAAGGTGGCAACGATTTGTGAACTTAAATGAGATTTGGCTTGTACTTTGAATTATTTAAAGTACTAGTTTGTTTGTGTGTTTTTTTTTTCTTTTTTTTCATGTTCATTGGTGTGAAAGGGCTAGAAAATTAAGGACAACCTCAAACATGGTTTGATGCTATCCTGTGGTTGAAAAACTCGGTAATACGGGAGATTAAATTGTTGTAATGAGTAATTAAGGACAACCTCAAACATGGGTTGATGATATTAGCTACAATAATCAATTGTTCTAAATGGAAGTTGCTATGCCTTGTTTAACATTGTGATTGCTTCAATTGAGAATGGATCCTTGGGAGTTTAGAATAGGCTTTCTTCAGCTGGTACCCAAAAGGAACATGCTCAATTTCAAGGGAAACTTCGCCAAATTTTGTGTCAAAGGCTTCAAGGAGCATTAATCGCTAACTGTTAATATTTGCATCTGCTGCTGCATCCATACGCTTTTTCCTGCAAAACATTTAATTCTCTCGTAGGAGTGCTCTTGTATCCATGTGCTTCCACGGAGCCAAGGACCTCGTCGCTACAATAAGAGATGCAAAATACGCGTTATAAGGGTGAGTAAAAGTGGAATTGAATCTATTAGATGGAATGAATTTGATTGATTTAGTTTGTTTTATTTGTTTTTATTTATAACTAATTCTTTAAATGGATTAAATTAATTAATTAAATTAATTTTTATTTTTAAAATTGATAATGATCGAATAAATTAATAATTTAAAAAATAAAAAAATTGGAGATAAATATTTTTATTTAATTTTTTTATAAAATATTATTTAAAATATTATATCTTTTAATAATTTAATTGAAATGATACTTAAATTTAAATTTTATTAATTGAATTTGTAATTAAATAATTATTTATAATAAAAATAAAAAATAATAAAATAGTTTAATTATTTAGTCAAACTAAACAAACCAAATCAATTTAATTATGATTAATTATTTAAAAATTTTTAATAAATTCAATTATTTATTAAATAAAAATTAATTAAATTAATTATTAATTTTTTTAAATCAAACTAATCTAACCGATCAATTATTTACCTTACGCATCTATCCACAAAAAATGTGCAAAAATCGACAAACCCAAAAACGAATCCTATACTACAAACCTAAATCCAGGCAAAAAAAAGTAAGAAGAGAGAGTTAAGAAAGCCCGTCTCAGAAGAGAAAGATTGAGAGTACCACTACACACTCTAGAGAGAGAGAGAGAGAGAGAGTTGTGTTTCTACCTGTCAGTTTTTTAACTTAGGCTTTCACCTTCCCTTTTGGTTCCATGCAATTCGAAGGTATTTCATTTAATTATGTTTATAATTATATGTTTCCTGGTACAAAATCTAGCCTTACGTATATTTATGTTTATGGTATATATATAATTGTTGAAGGGTTTTTTTTTGTCTAAAAATATAGTTTTTTATACTAATATATTAGATTCGTAATCAACTAAATTTAATTTTGAAACTAAATATTAGATATTAGGTTCACAAACTAACTTAATCTAGTCATGATTTCTAATATTGATATAAGAGTTTGATTCAAGCTGATGATGGATCTAATATCCATCAATTAAGTTTTTATTATTTTAATTTTAAATTATTTTTTGATATTTGAGATTGTCTAAAATTAAAAATTCAACACTCTAATAGCTTATTACATCATCGGCTAATTTCAAATTATTTATACAACCACATAACCATTAAGCTTCAGATCTTACTTTTCATTTATCCAGCCATAAAACATAAATATTCAGATTTTATTTTTATTTATTTGCCTTGTTGAACGTCCATCCAACTGGATTGCTAGCTTTTAATTGCTTGTTTTAATATAAACTTATTCAATTTTTTTTTGTCTGTTAAATAAAGGATTCACTTGATGCACGACAGCTGAGTTGAAAATGAAGTGAGAGGAGAAAATACATGCACGGAAGCAGGGCTATTGAAATTTGAATAGCAGGCTTTGGTTTTGCTTTGAGTGACTTCAGTTTAGTAAGTTAAGAAAGTGTTAGTTTATTGAAACGCATAGTTTCGGTTTGGAAAATCATAGGAGGCATAGTTTCGGAATGAAAAGGAATGCCGTGGATTATTTACAGCCATATATAGGCTAGTGCTTTAGTGGAATTTTCCATGAATTTTTTATAGCGGGGAGAGTACACTTCCTTCATAAATACGGCACCCCTAAGCCACTTTTCTAAAATTATCTTACACAAATAAAAAAAAAGTAAAAATATATACCAAACTAAATTTAATTGTCAAACTCATAAAAATACAAATAGAAACTTACTTTATTATGCTCAAATATCAGCACGTAATAAAAAAATAACATTTACAAAATTTAATTACCAAATAAAAAATAATTAATGAAATTTGACTTACATATTTGATATTATTTAGAGAGTATAATTTGACAGTTGAGATTGGGATTTAATTTTCCATCTAGTTATATTGTTGTAAAAACAAAATTATTAGAACTAAATTTTTGGCTAATAAGTTGATCAATGAAATTCATAAAATTACATAAAGCTGAACAAATCCCAAGTCCCAAACCAATTCTTATTCCCGCTTACAAACTTGTTATTTGTGTCACGTGATCATCATTATTTTTTTTTTTTTGCAAAATCAGCAAATGCACCATGAATGCTCTCCTCGCATGAACTAAAAAGTGATATATACAAAGATGGAACTGACCCAAGTGATAAAAATTTTCGTAAAATGAATTAAAAAGTGTTTTGGATAACCATAAAATGAATTAAGACCATGTCAAAAATATTGGCAGCCAGCATTTTTGTACTTAAAAGTTACGAAAAAATTCTTCTAATAAAAGCCTCAATCATGGCCGCCATAGAGTGAGTAAAATCTGTACAAGTCCATGCCTGATTAACTCAATAATTTAATCCCATCCCAAATTAAATTGCATTTTTACCATTTAAAAAATATTATTATTGTAACAAAAAAATTTGATTTATACTCAACAAGGCATGTTTGAATATGACATTAATTGATAACTCCATTTTATTTTGAAACTTAAATACCATATTAATTCTTTCTACACCACGACGAGATAACTCGAAAAATTGAGACTAGGATTGTTGGGAGCGCCAGGCCCCAACTGTATTGGAACGATTGGGCAACGCACGGGAGCCCCCAATTCCAATAGCAATTTACTCTGGGGTGGGCTCTACTGGTAACAAAATAGGATTAAATCAAGTCGCCCAATGGTCCACAAAGAGCTTAGCCTATAAAAAGAGAAACGTATACTTTTACCCTTCCAAAGCCCACTTCTTTTATAAGCAGCCTCTCGGCTCGTCGCTTCACGTCTTGGGGACGCGGAATTTGTTTAAAAAAAAAAAAACGTATTTATTTTGCAACAATTCTTGATTATAATTAAAGCAGTCACATCTTTGTTAACTAAAATATTCTTATCAATCATATAGTTATGATATCATGCTTGTCAATTGTGAAATTAATCAAAATTATTGCTTTATCTTCTTCCCTAAATATCTCACTTATACTTTTTTTATTCATATAAATTTCTTCTTTTATCCATTAATCCTTTTGGAGATTTTTCATCTAAAACATCATACTTTAATGCTATATTTAGATATATATATATATATATAAAGAAAAGGAAATTAAAAGAAAAGAAAGAAGACAAAAATTTTTTAAAAGAAAAGAAATCATATATGTATCTCTCATTTGGATGGTTAAAATTAATAACAGCAAAGAAAAGAAAGCAATTTTAATAATCATTGTTTAAATAAATAGTAAAAAAGATAAGAAATAATTCATTATAATATATTTTTTTAATTATAACCTTTTTTTTTTTATAAAATAACATATAATATATAAATATATCTTTATACTACTTAACTTATATGAACAAATCTTTTTAAATAAAATTGAGCATATTTAATACAGTAAAATATATCAGTTATTTATTGATTTACTCTTAATTATATGTTCAATTCAGCCTTTTAATTTATTTTGACAATAATTTAGCTTGTTTTGTTGTTAAAACTTGAAAAATTATAAAATATTTATAATTGTGATGTTATATAAAATACTAATAAAAAAATTATTTTTGTAAAAAGTATTAATTATATAATCAAATCTAATGTTAAAATAAAAATCTGGATATAATATTTTTTTATAAAAAAAAAAAATTTCAACTTTTCTTTCATTAATTTTTCTCTCAAATTGGGATATTAAAAAATAAAGATTATAAGAAAAATAAAAAAATTATTGAGTTTTCATCTATTTTATTTCTTTTAAATTAAAAATTTATCCAAATAAAAAAATTTTTTGTTTCCATTACTTTTCTTTATTTTCTTTTCCTTTCTTTCCTTTCAATCTAAAGCATAAGGTAACTGTAAGGATTTAATTGTACTTACCATTATTATTCATTGAATTTCTTTCCATCTAATAACCTTCATCTCTATCAGATTCTTTGATTCAAAAGTACGTCCAATCCTTCTTGTACTGATATATATATATATATATATATATTGTAGTATTATGTTTCATATTAAAATTATTTGTTCCTTCAAAATATTCAATCTCAAACTTTGCAATACTTTAATTAGTCTAGCTCTAGGATCAATTAATCTTTAAGAAAGTGAATGCAAAATCAAATAATAAAATATTTGCATTAGATATAATAATTTATTTGATTTGACATTTAATTTGTTTATATTCATGAATGAAAAAATTTAATAATTATAAAAAATTACAATCACATCAATAATCGATAACATTCAAACTAACTTATAATCAAACTTAATCCAAATAAACACTTTACCAAACAAAAATCAATCTCAATTAAATCTATGAGTTTAGTTGGGCCTCTAAAATTCTCAAATCAAATACAAATAATCACATTTATGAATACTTTTTTTATCTCATGAGATGTCTAAATACCAAATCTCATAGAAATCTTGTAATTTTACATATATTTTTATCTCAAATTATATTCATATCAAATTGAAACTTTCATTATTTATAAATATATTAATTTATCCATTGAATAAATTTATCACAAAACACTATCTTTAAGGAATTCAAAAATATCTCCTAAATGTTTTTCAAAAAAATTTGATATTTGAACACGTCGATCTAACAGTAAATGGTCCAATGGAGCAGTCAACAAGGAAGGAGTCAGCTTTTTTTCAACAATGTCATAAATAAATTCTGACTGCAACTAGCAGCTACTAAAACCCTAGAACAGTAGGCTTTGGGTTGGGCCTTGA